GCAAATGTTCAGTTTTTTCCCTGGAAAATGCTCTGATAAGACTTGTATTTGTTTAAAGTGCTAACACATTTTCTTTCTGCTACAGACTTCATGCCAGCAGCAGCAGCCAGACCTTATTTTTCTTCTTCAGCCTCAGTTCTCCAGACTTTCTAAAGCTGGTTTGCTTTGTTTAACTAATTTTGAGTCCATTTCTTGTCCCTCACCATTTTTTAGAAGAATGTTTTTTTCCATAAAGACAATTAAATCTTACCTGTAAATCATTGAACAGAAAAAAAGAAAAAATCAATGTTGTGTCCATTTATAACAAACAGTTTAAAATTGATCTTTGTGCACTTATTTGTCAGAAAGACAAATAAAGAGGTGAGTTTAAGCTCAGAGATGGAGGAGGAAGGAGCTCAGAGCAGAGATTCACTTTAAAACTCTCTTTTTTTATATAACACATCATCATTAAGGTTTGTCTGTCGCATATAAAGTTCTGTATCTAAAGAAATTAAGGTGGTTAGTTAATTAGTTTTTTGAGACGTGGCCTTTTTATTGAGAAACCCACGACACCCACAGCCCCAACGGCCTCCAATCAGAGCCTCCCGTTAGGTAAGCGGCTCGTTATCGCGGTTTGGGGATTAGGCAAATGACATCTTGTGATATTTATGCAGAAATTAAGCAAGAATATAAATTTGAAAAATGCTTGTTACGTGAAAACCTTGAATATAGGCAGGCCATCTGTATAAAGGTTTAGAGAGAAAGTTAAGATTATGTCAACTCTGTCCAGATAACTGTGTTGGAGATGAGTATCATGTTTTGTTTGAGTGTAAAAATGTTTGAAATATGCCATTACAGAGATAAGTATTTTCCACAGTATTATGTGAAGAGCCCATCGATGTTTATAATAGTTTCATTATTTCAGTCTGGAAAAGAGAAAATCATTTGTAAGTTGGGTGCCTTTTTGAAATGGGTCCTCCCATTATATCGATGATGTCATAGTTTTAATGTATATGCGTTAATTTGTTCTGTTATATTTATTGTTTGTGCTCCAAACCATGTATATGGTCATGAGCAATTAAATAAAATAACTGAATTGAGTTGAATTGAATTGGAAAAGAAAAGAAGTGTCACCATGTCCTGTGCCAGAGAGTTTTCGTCTTTTGTCTGTTTTCGTCACCCCACGTCAGGTTTGATTTTGTCACAGCCTAGTTTACTTTATTGCCAAAGTCTTGTTTTTGTACCATAGCTATGTTTTTTCCATAGCCTTGTTTTCCTTATTGCCATAGCCAAGTTTCGCCACAGTCATGTTTTTGTCATAGCCATGTTTTGTCACGGTTTTGTTCATCTTGATTTGATACTTTACCATAGCCTTGATTTACTTAATTTGATACTTTGTGTTCACAGTCATGTTTAACTCATTGGCTGCCAAAGACGTCTATAGACGTCTTTTATGTTTTTCAACGAGAGCGGCTGGGGGACGATCTGCTAAAGCTTGTCCGTAAATATCGGCTTCTAGACAGAGTATGTAGTAACAAATTGACCCTCTAGGGGGCAGTGCCACTTTTGATGGAAGATGAGCATAGACTGTAGGCAAATAAGAAAAAGGTAACGGTTCGCTATGAGAGAACATGTCGCCTGGGAGACGCAAGTCGAGGAAGAACGGAATAAGGTAGAAACACATTTTTTTTCCTGATGAAAGAAGAGAGTCTACTCTTTCTTTTGGTGTGTTCGTTGTTTACATAGTCATAGCACAAACTATTCTGTGGCTCTTGAAAAATCAGTCAAAATGCTCAAAAAAACTCAGTATGGGACTCTCTGTTCTGAAAATGGCTGGCAGTCAATGAGTTAATCTTGATGTGATACTTTGTTCATCGTTTTGCCACAGCCTTGTTTTGAACTTTGTCTTGACATCCACTCTTTTGAGTGCGTCTTTCTGTTACAATAAACCCTGTTTTCTGAATCTCCGCGACTGAGTCCTCCCTCCAAGATCCACCTTTTTGACAAGAAGAGCTCGAGAGCGTCCTCTCCTTGTTCTCTGAGCCGTCGTCCAATGAGAACGCAGAGATGAGGAGCAAAGCTCCAGCAGGAAGAAAGCAGAAAGCTCGCATGAATTATTCAACTCTCCCTTTGTCTGCTTTCCATTTATCTCCCAGTCCTCTCCTCTCCAGCGAACGGCAACTCCCTGACAGCGTTATTGTAGCTATCGGGAGGGAGGCCTTTTTGGTCCACACCCCCCCACAAGACGCGCACTCACTATTTCAGATATCCCCGGTAATTAGGCAGGCAAATTACAGCCCTCTCTGCCAGCCTGCAGCCGAGGACTGTGGGAAACGTAGGCAGCTTAAGTGCTTCCTTTATTGCCGCCGTGGCAGGAGACCAGGGGTGTTTTTGGATTTCTAAAGGCAGCGAGGGGGATAAGAAGACGGGGCTGGAGCCATTATCGGTGAGGACGTTCACTTTGTTTTGGGATGAGAACATACAGGGAGCTGTAGGAGATACAAGCCGATTAAAGGCCGCTTTTGTTTTTGATGCTGATAATGATGAAGCGAAGGAAAAGATTGAACTATTTCTAATTCTGGAAAGGTTTTCGTGTCATCAGATACTGGTTAAAAGAGATTATATCATTCATGTCTCACTTTTATGTAAAAATTAGGATAGTTATTTCTTTTTCTTTTCTGTGTTTTCCTGGTTTAGTTGACTGTTTCTGCCTCTTTAAGAGTTTAGTTAGTTTTTCTTTAATATCCTTTTCTATAGTTTGCTTCCTTCATTTTTTGTCTATCCATAAACAACGGTGCATACATAACAGCAACTCAGATTACTTTACAAAGGCAATAATGTTAAAAAGGTTCATTCAAAAGATCGTTTAATTGTGTAATTGAAAGAAAAAGGAATCCAAACCAAAGAAAAAGTAGAAAGTGCAGTAAAATAAATCTGTCCAATTTAAGCCGATAAGAATCCAATTAATTTAAATTATCACAAAATCGAACACAGCCGAATATAAAACCTGTATAAAATCTTAAAAACATGTTGCAAAAGCACTTCAAAATAGTCTTAGTCCCCCAAAACTGAGTGAGCACGAGGCGACAGTGGAAGGAAAAACTCCCTTTATGTTTTTTTAGGAATATGATTATTCAAATGTATTTTCCTATTTCTTTTGAAATCCTCTTTGGGCCCCGACCACCCGGTCTTACGTCCCTAAATGGGGTCCCGACCCGGCTTTTGGGAAACGCTGGGCTTAGAGCTCAGTTTACTCAAAATTACAGCATTAAGTAGCAGTCTTCAGATAGATAGATAGATAGATAGATAGATAGATAGATAGATAGATAGAT